ATATGTGCTACTCTCCTTTTTATTAAGCAATTAGTAATTTGAATTAGAAAACAGGAATTTTTTTTTTTTAATATTTTTCTTTATTTTTTTTTCATCTTCTGAGAATGTCGTCAACAATTAGTTGAATATTATAGAAACTGTAATTTAAAAGACTATAATGAAAATTTTAAAAATCTTGTATATAAAGTAAAAAGTTGTTCAGGTGTTGAGGATGATTGACAGATGGTTCAAAACAATTATTATCTAAGTTTATATTCGAATATAAACGGAAGTGGGCTTCTGCTGGAAGAAACAATGTCTATTTTATAGAATAGAATTTAATAGGCTCAGAAACGGTATCTGTCTTGTTGTGAAAAAACATGCTTCAAAACGAGTTGGTGGAAGAGCTTCTAAAAATTACTCTGAGGGCAGCAATCGATCATAACACGGAAAAACTGAACACTTACGTATGGAAAGATCTAGCAGTGAGCTTTTGTTTGCTGCTAAAATGAACTTAAAAAGAGATGGTCATCTGAAATCTGCTGAACAATGTAAAGCTATAATTAGAAAACAAGACACCACTTCTGAACAAACACACATCCCTTATACACCAGATGAAGCTTTAGCACTTGTTCTTGGAGTAAAGCCTACCATGTTCCAATAAAGTTTAATAAAGAAAAGTGCAACTGATCATAATTGCAACATTTATCCTCTTTATGAAAATGTTACTTCTGCAACGAAAAGATGCTACCAAAATAATATATCCATCAGTAAATCATCTATTAAAATTTCTTTACAAGATTTATTAGATCATACATCAACCAGACCTTTTCATTCACTGCAAGTTATTTCGACACTTTCTAAAAACAAACTTGATTCAATCTCTTTGATTAGGAAATGGGGATGTGATGGAACATCGGAACAAGCTATAAGCAATAAGTAACTATTTCAGGATGATACCGTTTTAGATTCAATCACTTATTTGATTACCATTGCTCCGAAACAATTAGAAGTAGACAACATAAGCGGAAGTGGTAAACCAGTTGCTTGGAGAAATCCAAAGTTGCAGGCCAATAATGCTTCATTTTGCCAAAGAATCGACAGATGTGATTAAAGGTTGCGTCAAATGTATTAAAACTCAAATAGAAACATTAATACCAACAAAAATAGAGTGCAATAGTACTGAAATACATTTTAAACATAATTTAATTTTGTGTATGATTGATGGGAAAACCATCAATGATAGGTACAACTGCCACTAAATCAAATCAGCGATTTTACCTGCATCATTTGACATCAAAAGACTTTAATAATATATCTTTTAATTTATCTAAAAATATTGTCAAGAATTTTTTCAATTTTGGGATATCTCGTCTACATACGTGGATCCGTCTATTTAAATGTTTGATATATTTCGAAGAAATATTACATGAAAGATTTTAAAATACATGAATATCCAAAAGAATTATTTTTTTTAGACATGTAAAAATAAACAATAGATAAAAAATATAACAAACTTGCGAATTGGAGTTAAATAAAGCTGTAGTTTAATTTATTTATGTTTTTTTCTCGAATCTTAAAGCTTCTCAAACTTTCGTTTCAATCTATAGGTTTTGACCAAAAATTTAAGAAAATCCGCCTGTGTGCGTCCGTACGATTGGATAGTGTCGGATTTCCGAGGAAGGTTATCAATATTAATTACTATTCCTCTCTCTCCTAACTGCAGAGTGTATGTGGTGAATGTTGTATTTACTACAAGAACTTCTAATGAACATATTAAATGAGTTTATATATGTGTTTCTAACTGACAGAAATGTAGAAGTATATTTTGGATGCATTTTCTACAGCCTGTTAAATTGGTTTCTAATTCAGTCACTTCGTAATTACAGTGAAGAAGTTGCCTGTTGATTATTATTAAAAATTGGCGACCAAACGAACAATTCTGCTAACCATTTACCTAAAAATCTTTGATCGAGAAGTGTTATAAAAAGCATAAATTCCCAGTTATAGTTTATTTTCGAAATAAAGAAACGCTTATTGAATTAGTAAGAAAATTACAAACCGTTATTTAGTGATCTAAATTTCTAGATGAATGTACGTCATGTTTGTTTCGAATTATGGTCGAATCAAAAATGTACGCTGTAAAACACGAGGATGAGGTTATGCAAGGTTGTATGCAAGGGCCATGATATACTTAGATTTCTAACAACTGAAGGCTCACTTTCGGATTTGTTTCTCCAAATTTTAAAATATGACTGCAATTAAAAAAAAATCATTAACAAAATTTCTTTTTCGAAGGCTTGTGTCGACCCAATCGCCATAATAGCCTTTGTTGACCTTCATCCCCTTGGTGTGGTAGTACACTTCTTGTATAATGGCGCTAGTGCATTTTTATTGCACATGTCCACGTGCGAATATATAGGCTTTTGTTTGATATTTTCAAAATAAGCTTAATAATATATTTTGTGGTAATAACAGTAAATTATTCAATCGAACAGTAATTGCGGAGTGTAATTGGCTTGTCTACGTACCAGCTGCTGCGAAGATCACGAGTCGGTACCTGTGTTTCGTCACTTGATCCTTGCGATAACAAAAAGCGTGTGTTCTCAATTGTTGACGGCTCGTTAACTGGGTTACTTTTTGTGCATAGTTTCCACTTCCACAGTCTTGTTGCGCTATCACGAGATGCACTCTGCAGTGACACCATTCAAATATTCCAGAATACTGACTAGAATAGTGGATATTTATTTAACATTAAATCCAAACTATTTGAAAGTTAACAATCAAGCAAGCGCGACCACATGAACATACATATACATACACAACACACGGAGCTCTAGTAGAATTATCGAACCATAAGCGATTATTTAAACAACCGCCGAAGGAGTTACCACTGTCCCGGCGGAATTCTATTCGAAGAATTCTATTGTGCAACGGCGAACAGTTTGCAAAGTTTGCCTGCTGCAACACAAAGCGCGGTAATCGAAAAGAGTCCATCAAGTGTTTTGCCTCGTAGTTCGTTCGTCCATTCGTTCGTTCGCTCGTTCTCACAGAGTTTATCCTGCGGAACAGGAGTTAGACGAACTTTCGAAACAACTAAACTCTTGGAACACAGGGGAACGACGACGAGGACGACGGTGAAAATAAAGTTTTTAACCTTAAGATGCACCTAACCGAACAATTGCCTCGTCTTTAGTATACCCGGTTCGCCCTTGTTTGAGACTGATGATCTCAAAGAGCGATACAAATGAAGTCCCCGTTGTATTCTAAATCCTTTTGCGTCTCCTATCGTACGTAACACATTTTAGAATGTTAGATCTTTGTTTATTAGTGCCAAATGAGAGTTAATTTTAAGACTTGCACGTTCAAAAGACTATAATGCATTTACGGACGTCGTTATTTGACATGATGGTTGCGGTTTAGGATTTGCTTTACTCCTTTGATGAGCCCCGAGGATTGAGACGTTTATCCAAAGTTCCGCTAGCTCCTTTGTTTGGACTCATTGTTATTAACACGAAATCAATAAAGCTAAAGGCTCCCATGTATTGGTCTTTGAGTCCTCTTATACACTCCAACTGCTTCAAGTAGTAATAATTATGAAAATATAAATTTAAGAGTGTCAAAAATGACAAGTTCTGTAAGCGGTGATTGCAGGTAGATGGGTCTGATTATGTATAGTGTACGTTTTTGGGATCGTTGAATCCAAATCCTAAGTCAATTTAACTCCAACACGTCAGGGTTTGGACATAACCTCAAAAAACAGTCCAAAATTTCACTAAAACTGTTTAAAAATTCGACGTGGGGGTCTGACTATGTATATTGTATATCTCTGGGGTCGCTGAATCCAAATGAGAGGTTAATTTAATCCCAACATGTCAGGGTTTGGGCATAAACTCAAAAAGCACTTCAAAATCTACTAAAACTGTAAATCATTCTACTAAACGTATAACTTCATAATCCATTAAACCCCTAACCCTAAAATCTTAAGATCCCATAACTCTGTATTTCCGTTATAGAAATATTAAAATAGTATCGCTCAGTCTCTCACCACGAAACTATTCGTGGCGTACATTTCACAAAGTCATAGGGTTTTAGGGTTACGGGTTTAATGGATTATGAACTTACACATTCAGTTGAAAAGTTGATTGGTTGTGGGTTTCAAGTTTAAAATCGTTTGAAATTAACGGTTTTATAGTAGATATTGAAGTATTTTTTAGGTTATGTTACAAATTACAAATCCTGACGTGCTTGAGTTAAATTCCGTAGGTATTAACCGTTTTGCTAACACAGATATGATGTCTCTACCGATTATTTCATCATTCATTACTTGATTTCCTAAATATCAAGATATCGACAGTCATGTATCTATTTCCCGCGTTATTGTATTAAGTCCCCTATCTCGCTCACCTAATATTAAAATTTTGTAAAAATTTAAAATAACTGACATATTTTTATAGCTTCTTTATATGTCTGTTTAGTTAATATTGCCTTAATTACATATCCAAAACTTTTTAAATTAATTTAGTTATGTATGAGAAATGGAATCCTACACCTAGATACTGAATACATTCGATAGATACTGATTCCATTTGTTTTGTTGCAGAAGCTGAAAACTATATGAATGGATGTACAGGAAATTAAAAAAGTTGTTGCCAATTCTCCAAAATCGAAGACCAGCCAAAAGTAAGTAGCAGGACTAATTTTCATTTATTGTTTGCTGGTATTAATTTGGCTTGCTGAAATGAAAGTCGGTTATTTTACAAATGAATGAAGTTAGGTACATAACGGCGTATTTAATAGTAATAGTACTGGGTTTTGAAATTTTCTTGAGCAGTAGGCGAACATAATTAGAAGTAAGAGGAAAACCCTTTCTCTATCAAAGTTATCATCTTCAAACCGATTGAGACAAATACAAAATAGTACTTTGTATCGAGGTCTGAAAAGTGGATATTTCAGACTACGTGTGAGTTGCAAACACGTAGTCTGAAGTATCTACTTTTCAGGCAGAGATACGTATACTATTTTTTGTCATATTTGTGCGGAAAGCTTGTTATTAAATTGACAGTTGGCGAAATAAGAGTAAATGATTTAGAGGTTAGGAAAACATTGTCATTGAACAACTGATTTCTGCGCATGCCCATAAACATGAGCGCATGCGCTCAAAAGACTAATTTCATTTCCTCCCGACTAAAACACGGCTGAAAAGAGGTCATTTCTTCCCTATTTCATAGCACGCTAAACGAGCTTTCCGCGCTAACATGACAAAAAATGTATTAAAGTACCTACCGAGTATGACAACATTTAGGTATAATAGAGTTTACTATTTTGCTACTTGATTTTTTTGATTTACCTTTTTGGTTAAATTAACGTTGCCCACTTTGTCAAAAGTTTGACATTTTCTCGTAAGCTTAACAGATATCCATTTGATCAGCGAAATTATTCTTAGGTGTAAACATTATGGTTTTTTCGCTTTCGATGTAATTGGTCAGTACTTACAAATGAACTGGAAGGTGCAATTGGTATTGGTACTTTTGTTTGGGTGGGTTTATGGTCAGCCATTTTATTATGACTTATCGTATAAGGATGACGATAATGATGCTGCACAAGCTAAATATAGGCAAGAATATGTGAAAGTATTCGGAACGATAAGGGATGATAGAACAGAAAGTGAAGAAATAAAAACAACTGATGAAGTAGTAATTGGTGATGAGTTTCTGAGATTGAAAGCAGTGTTTGGAATACCATTTTAAATAATAAATCAGTTGACAGTATTTCATTATTAGGTTTTCATGAAATGCTGTGTATTAAGTCGTTAAACAATAAGGAAATAAATAATGTTACTTTTGCGTATTCATTGTTCTGGAAATTTCGAAAAAGGGTATCAAACGTACGGCTTCTTGTTTTGTAGTAAGGAATAGACGAAGTAAGTTTGGGAAACCACCATCTGAGACATGAAGAGCTAGTCAAATATATCCACTATGTCTAATCAGTATTTCGGAATATTTGAAAGATCTGTAAACATCTGGAGGCACTGTAAAGTGTATCTCGTATAGTATACACAAAAAGCGCCCTAGTCAGCGAACCGCTAATGATTGAAAACAGTTAACAGTTTTATAGCCGTGTTATCGTATCGCCTTTCGTTATTACGGAGCGTCAACTGACGAAACACACATACCTATTAGTGACCTTCGCTACAGCTGATGCGTAGACAGATAACTTTCACGTTCTGATTAGTAATAACCTGCACCAGTCAACGTTTGATTGGCAAAGAAAAATTGGGAACCGCTGATCTAGACTTCTAGAATACGCCACGGTAGACAGACAAGCGTCAAATGTCCGTTGGTCAGATGCCGGTGACCTATATTGTAAGAGATGTGAATACATTCTGCTCGTTGGGAACTAGTAGGGGGCGTTATTAGGCTAAATCATGTTGATATTTAGACTGAGAAGGACAGACCTTCTTTGGTGAGTTTTGCTCTCCTCATAATATATCCTTCTGACTACCCAATTTGTCCAACATTGTAATTCCAGAACACAAAAGTACTCCAGTTAACGCGCCGTCAATAATTGAGAACTATTGGCAGCCGCGTTATTTTATCGTCTTTCGTATGCGCCAACTGACGAAAGATACATACCTATTCGTGACCTTCGCAACAGCTGGTACGTAGACAGGCCAATTGCACGTAATGTTTAGTTATAATCGTTAGCGCGTGATTGCCAATGTTACTACTAATATCACAAAATACAAAACTACATTGAGTGTGAAAATATCAAGATAAAACCCATGTATTTACATGCAAAGCATGCGGTCATGGTGGTCACATACGGACGGTGTATTGGCAGTATCACGCGAATATGCGTTATCGTCATCATTGCCGGAACGGTTGGGGTTTTCGGTAAGGTCGCTAATCTCATGTTTGTGTATATCACTGAGTGGTGTGATATGGCTCGTTGTTTATTTTTTTCATATGCTTTCCCCTTCAATTTTTCAGAGTACTGATCAGACATAGTGTACATAATAACGAAAATGTGTGTAATCTGTCATTGTCTACAATTCCTAGGAAATGTCTATAATTCCTAAAATCGCCTGGAAATGTGTAAAATAAATTATATTAGACATATTTCCTAGGAAATCTATACATTTCTTAAACAGTAATTGGAAATATATTATATTCAAGATATCAGTGGGTACGGGAGGTTTAGCGGAGCGAGGGTAGGGTAGTGCGTTATCCGATCAGGCGATTTATTGTACTCACAGTTAACTCTGATTATCAGTTTACTAACGTGTTTTATTCATATTATTCAAAGAAATAATTAGTTTTACACATTTCCTAGTATAATATCGGAATTTTCATTCAATTCCTAGGAAATGTGTACATTTCTTAAGATATGTGTGTATCTTTGAAACAATATTTTATAGATGTCCTAAATAGCCTCGGAATTGTATAAATGTCCTAGGAATTGTATATAATTCCTAGATACAATTCCTAGATTTCATACATTTCCGGTAACATATACAGATACATTTGCGGTTTTTCGAGAAATGCCAAGATTAGTTCAAGATAGTAAACGGAGTGGAATGATTTTATAATGATGATGCGTATTGATGTAATTTGGTTACATTTGAAATTTTATGCGGTGTAATTTGTATGCAGTTAACTATTGATCCTGTTAATATATGAAAGGACCTTCTCATGATTTCGATGATGTCTGCTTTTTTTTTATTTTTGCAAAAATGTTTAGGACACCATGTGGTAGGATATTTTTCACATGAATCGTTTTCCGAATGTTTAGCCATCACCAGTTGGTTATACTTATCTGAATGTTTTCGGTTCTTTTGTGTTAGAAAATGATAAATGAACGTTTTTGCGAATGCCTGACACAGAGGCGCGTTTTAGTTTTTTGTGCCGCGACTTGTGCGTTTTATGTATCAAGTTGGCGATGTATCGCTCTTTCATTTTTTGACAAGGAACGATTTGAATCTAATTTATAAGAACAAAGAAATTGATTAGGTGCTGAGATAACTACTACTCGCCAAAATGTATGCTGTTTCGGATATCCCAGTTTCTATTTTATAATAATTGCACTGAATATTTTTTAGTAAAAATTATATCGGTACTATTGATATAACTTTAAACTACAGTTAGGTTAGGTTAGGTACCATTGATATAACTTTAAACTACAGTTAGGTTAGGTACTATTGATATAACTTTAAACCATAGACCTATAGTAATGGACGTGCCTTAGCCGTATGTCGTTGTAATAATTTCTTGGCTCAAAAAGTGAGGAAGATGCATATGGTTTCGGACTAATGCTATCTCTTTCATGACACGCTACGCACTATCGTGAGAGAGATAGATATTGTCCGAAACATCGTTCCATCTCTTTCTTTTGTTGTACCACAATTCTGACTGCTAAGGCATGTCCATTACTAAACGTTGATGCTTTAAAGTACAGTTAGGTTATGTTAGGTTAGGGTTGCCATCTGTAATATTTGGAAACCAGGACAAGACGCGTGAAAACCCCGGACATGTCAACAGGTTTTTTTAAACATAGTCAGTGTAATAAAAAGCGTTGAAAATATCATAAATCACCTTTTTATTTATTTTCAGACCTTAAAATTAAATTTAGTCATTTTTTATCATCATTTTAAATGTACCTAACAAAACCGAATCTTATTACAGTTTGTTAGAAATTGTTTTAATAATCAGTTAGATTTTTTATCGTTAAAATAAAACTCAAATTATTAATATACTTTGTTATGAAAACAAATCCTTATAAAAATATGAAACCTAAAAAAAATAAATTATACGTTGGGGGGGGACGGTGAATATAACGACTCGGTTCGTCGGTTGATCGTGGTGTGTGCGAGCACAGTGGGTATGTCGCGGGAGGCACAAGACTAAATTTTTAAACCCGAACTACAAATGAAGGCCCACCCGGACGCTCCTCGGATGCCCTCTAAACTAGGACACATCTGGGGAAACCTGGACGGATGGCAACCCTAGGTTAGGTGCTATTGATATAACTTTAAACTACAGTTAGGTTAGGTTAGGTTAGGCACTATTGATATAACTTAAAACTACAGTTAGGTTCTAGTGCGATCGCCTGATGTTATACATGCTTATACCATTGGTGACATTATGTTTGACTAGGTTAGGTTTGGAGAAGTATATGCGTTGGTGACGTTATTGTACGGTTATTAGGTAGATTTATGACAGACTGGAGTTTGTTTAATGCCCCTGATATGTTGGAATAATATCTTCGAAAAGTATGCTTCATTATGATCTCCGCGCCCAACATATATATCTGAAAATAATCAGCATTATCATCTACTATCAACATACTAAAAATTCAAGGTGTTTGCTGAAACAAAGATAAACTCGTCACATTATTGTAACATCTTATATCATAAATCTCCCTAATCAAACAATGACGTCACCAATGGATATAGGTACATCTCCAAACAACCTGCCGTATTATTACCTATTTAGTATTACCTGTAATACATTTCCGATTGCTATTTAGGAAATGTATAGATTTGCTAGGCAATGTGTCTAATATAATTTATTTCACACATTTTCGGGCGATTTTAGGAATTTGACGGATTTCATACATTTCCGTTAACATATATATCAATAAATAAATGCATGCTTTTCGTTAGAATAGTTTACATCTTGATC